TAAAAAACCATTGGAATACACATCTCAAGAAAAGATTAACAAGATGGGTATTGATCCCGTTACCCATAAGCCAAAATTATTGCCACTAGCTACACTGACGGTAGCTCTGCCAAGAATGTGGCTAATCTTAGTCACATGGCTCAGTGGGAGAGTGCTCGTCTTGAAGCCGAGGCTAGGCTGGTTCGTGAGTGCAAACTTCTAGCACCCTCTTCAAACCTACCTCTTCAGTTCCACCGACCAGTTCTGCCGTGGATCACCTCAAAAACTACTCATTCCTCAACTCGTCAACATTTGATCACCAACAAAGCTGTTATGGTACCACGAGAAGGCAAACCCCAATGTCTCGATGTGCTCAAAGCGTGGGAAGGGGAAGTCTCTAACATGTTTTTCACCGTCACTTCTGCCACCAGGGACGTCAACTTGATCGAGGGTCTGAAGTCACCAACGTCAACTTTGAGCTTCTCAGAGAACGTGTTACCAATTACAACGACCGTTGAATTTAGTGAAAACCAAGTTGACAGTAATTTTCTGATGTGTAGAACCACAGAATTCAAAGATGATGGTCAAAATGACAATAGCTATAAATGCCAACATGCTAAAATGTCAAACCAAAAATCGCCAGAATTTTGGAAATACAAACTCGACAATGATATTCATGCAATGGTAGTGCATGAAATGACAACGTATCCAAATGATCGTACGTTGTTTTATGAAGATTCATCAATGGTGGATCTGTCAGGGAGGCTTGCCTATCATGGTTCTTCTTCTAATCAAGTACAAGATCCACCATTATTGAGCTTCAATAATGGTGGAAGCTATGTTAGCGATATGGTTGATGAAGAGATCAGTAAAAGCTACTGGGAAAACATGTTGCTAAACGTAGCCAATTATGCTTCACCATCTGGATCACCTGTATTTTAGGTGGTTCAAATAAAATTAATTAATGATGGTATCAAGTGTGTTTCTGCATGCATTAAGTTGTAACATCCGAGGACTATGATTGAGTTGGCTTAAAACTTAATAGCTTTATCCAATAAAGTAGTGTTTTTCATTTTCCCAATAAATATATAAGTAATTTTTTCACTTCCATTAAAAAAAGTATATGTTTTTTGCTACTTTATTTTTGTTCATAAAAAAAAGTACTTTTCTTAATATTCTTCTCCAAAATTTTATTTACTAAGAAAATTTTATGATTAAATTAGAGTACAATATTTTGTGGTTTGGTATGTTTTAATTTGAATTTTATTACCTCTATTTTTCTTATTACAAATTGAAAACACACATCTATTCTTGTCTTATGTTATTTTATATCAAATATATATTAGTTTTCTTAGGTTTTTCATTATTTTGAAATTTTCATTATACATAAGTATTAGTCTCTAAAAAAGATTAATCTTATGTAAAATAACTTTAAATAAGAAAAAAAAGACATAACTACTAAAGGTAAAAATAGTTGAAGCTCAAGTTATTAGATTGTGTTTTGCTCAAATTATATTAGTATCACATTAATTATAAATGAGATATTTATATACGTTGAGTTCTTAGATTTTCTTTGACAATAGCACATTTTGCTTCTTTTCAATAAAATGAGAGCGATATTTCAAGTGTATTAAATTTACCTTAATTAGGAAATAGAGCTTTATAACTCTCTAAGGACACCATATATAATGTTTTATCTTATAATGATTTAATAAGGTAAATTTTCAAATTAGTTCCTGACGTTTGACAATTGTTACAATTTAATTATTAATATTTTTTTATTATAATTTGATACTTAATATTTTTTATTTATCTCAAATACCTCCATTTCTTAACAGAAAAAAATTAGAATTATTAGATCATATTTGAAAGTTTTAGATAAAAATAGGATTTTGATTAATTAATTAAATTAATAAAAAAGGTCAAATATTATTATTAATTTATTAATTTAGTTAATTATTGAACTCATTTTTTTGAGTTATTTTCTAAAGCATCCAAATATGGTATATCTATTTTAATTTTTTTGTTAGAAAATGAAAAAAAAAGATATTTAAAATAAATAAAAAATATTAAGAAGCAAATTGTGTGTCACACCCCGATACTCGATATGAGGCGCAATTCCTGCTCATGTTATTTTCATGCAGTGGGCTCATAAAATATATATATGCATGGGTCAAAAATATAATACACTCTAATATCCCATGTAATATGTACAGTAATTATATATATAATATAATGTTAAAATTTAGAGTCTAACATAATAAAATAAAACTTTTCGAATACGCACAATATATACAAAAATAAAAACTCTTTTACAAGTTCTACTCGTCTGACAGCGATACTGGCTCTTCATTCTTATCTGAAAAATATCAGGATAAAATTTAATGTGTTTCACCAACTCAATAAATATTCTCATTCTCTCAACCTAGATAAAATTTCATGAAAAACATATGGTAAGAAACAAAAGTAATAAAAATATTTCAATACAATTTCCATATTCTTATTTTCACTATTTCACATGTTTCTGATCGATCTGATGAATTCTTTCGAATATCATATACAAACCTCAAATATATATTCTCATACTCTCGAAAGTCATAAATGCACTCGAATATCAATCATCATTTCGAAACATAATCACACATACAAAAGATCACAGATACATTCGAATATCATTCATAATCTCGAAACATAATCACACATATAAAAAAAAGATCATAGATGCACTTGAATGGTCATTTCTATAGTTTCATTGCGCAATGCCGTTTATGTCATCATCAAGAAAAGGCGAAATGGATCCCTCCATCTTATGAATAGCACACACATAAATTACACAATGGCCGCAGCAGGTACGTTTGCTAGGTGGCCCACATTCACACGAATGCCTATCCACGTCTGGATTTAGGTTTCAGACTATATACATATACAGGTTTACCATGTCCGCAGAATTTTAGCTACACACACACTCCCCACCTCGATTCAGACTAAACGAGAAGGTATTCAGGGTCCCTATCCTATTCACTCCTACTTCTCATTCTAAAATTCTCAATTTATTTAAATGATCAATTTCTTATACTCAATTATTTCTTTTCCTTTCTATTTTTGTATTTTTATTTTATTTTATTTTTTTTCAATTTTTCCTTATTTGGGAATTTTTCTTTTTAATTTCAGATTTCATCAGTCCAAATAATTCTCAATCCATTGGGTTTGTTTTCTGGTTTCGTCTCCTCATAGGGTTCTAATTGCTTAGATTTACTAATCATAATTTGGATTCTATTTTTTATCAAAAATTAGGTCAATGTCTGTTCAAATTTTAAAATTTATAATTTAATGAAATGAATGCATATTCCAAAAAATTCAAACCCGGTTGAGATTTAGAAATACTTACTCTCCTACACGTCTTCCTGAATCCGTCTGAATGTCTAAATTTTTCTGTATACACGACATAATTAATTAAAATACTTCGAAATACCAAAAATTAATTTAATCAATTTATGGATTCCAACGACCACCTAACAAAATACCTGAATCTATCAGGATCCGTATCCGAAAAATCTTTCGACTCTCTGTTTGGCGAATCATATTTTTATTTTTCGAGAAAGACTTTTTGGCTTCCTGGACGGTAAACCGGATTCCTATTTTTTGAGGAAGACTTTTCAGCTTCCCAAACAGCAAATCAGAATTCAAAATGGTGGATCGATTTTTCACGCTCAGGGAATACCCTTCGGCTTCCTGAATGGGTCGGTTTTTCCCATTCCCAAGGAAACCTCCACAGTTCCAACGCAAGTGGGGGGCCTGGTCGAGCTCGTGCGGCTAGCCTGACACCAACCCCGCTCCACCGCTGCTCACAACCACCAAAAAATGCAAAAAAGCTTTACCTTTCTAGTGTGGGGGGCGATTCGGCCTTGATTTGCACATGGTCGCCTCTCTCGGTCACTTCGTGGTCTTTAGCTCTCAAACCTAGCTCGGATGCGGCA